GCTACAATAGTTTTTTCTTTCCTCCATATGGTTTCCATATAATCTTTTGATATTATTTGTCTTTGCTATTTTTAGATTCATAATTTACAAGACTGTTTAAAGAAATATGAAAAGAATGTATATGCAACAAATGTGGGAACACCTTATAAAGGTAAGAATAATGGTATCCATAATTATCTCTGAAGTGTAGATTTATAGTTACATTTTATTTTTCTCTTTGTTTATATTGTTTAGTGAATATATTTTACCTTTGACGTTAACCAATAACATTGAGTTTTGGAGAAAGAACAATAGTACTCTAAAACAAAAAGTAATGCACGTTTGTAGTGGAAGAAGAAAATCACCCGTGTAGCTGTATGTAAGTGAAAACTGCAAGTTCCCACTTAACATTTCGCTCTCCAGATGGACCCCGTTAGCAATTCATGAGTGTTTTTCAGACTCCCGTCTGTGTACCAGCATTCTTAAAAAAAAAATTTTTTTTTATTAAGTACTTTTTGGGGGGACTCTTACATCTCTTATCACAATCCATACATTCATCCATTGTGTTAAGCACATTAGTACATGTTGCCATCATTATTTTCAAAGCATTTTCGTTCTACTTGAGCCCCTGAGCTCTTCATTTTTCCCCCTCCCTCCCCTGCGCACTTGCCCTCCCTCCCTTATGAACCCTTGATAAGTTATAGATTATTATTTTCATATCTTACATCATCCTCTGTTGAATTTCACCTACTTCTCTGTTGTTTGTCCCCTTGGGGGAGAGGGTTATATGGTGATCTTTGTGATCGATTCCCCCTTCCTCCCCCCACCTTTTCCTCCTGGTATCACTATTCTCATTGTTGGCCCTGAGGGGTTTATCTATCCTGGATTCCCATTGATCCAGGCTCTTATCTATAGCAGTGTGCACGTTCTGGTCTAATCCGATCTGTTAGGTAGAATTGAGGTCATGATAGTGGGGGGAAGGAAACATTAAGGAACTAGAGGAAAGGTTTGTGTTTCATCAGTACTATACTGTACCCTGAGTGGATCCTCTCTTCCTTGTGACCCTGCTGTGAGGGCATGTCCAGTTGTCTACAGGTGGGCTTTGGGTTTCCACTCCACACACCCCCACCCCCTTCAATTTGGTATGATTTTGTTCTGAGTCTTAGATGCCTGATACCTGATCCCATCTTTACCTCATGATCATACAGG